GTGTCTGCCTCCGCGCACAAAAAATGAGATGGGCATCGCTGCCTACGCCGACGGCCAGAGGCCCGCGCATCTACATTTTTTCGCCTGACCCCATCAGTGCCGACCCAACTACACCACCACGCGCATGCCTCGCGGCGGATATGCGCAGCAGCAAGAAGGTTTCGGTCATCCCTTGAGGGTGAGTCTAGCCCTGCTCGCCAGAAAGACCCCCCCCTTCGCTACAACCCATGTCTAAGCAAAAGCTTGTCGAGGAGCGAGGGGAAGAAGGGAGAGTGGGCTGTTCAGTTACGGCAGGCTGCTCAATAACGCATGACTGATGCGGCAAGGAACAAGGGTGCGTGTGTACATGCCCCGCATACAGTAGCGTAGCCGTGAACGGAGATTCCGGCGCAACCTGTGTGAGAAGCTAATCTTTCGGTAGGGTCATGCTTCCGCTTCCACATCAGAAAAAAAAACTCACTCCTCTCCAACCTCCATCGGCAAAAAGGGCAAAAAGACAACCTTCTTGTAAGAGGTGAGGGGTGTACTCATACTCATAGTAGTGTATGCCGTAGTCGTTAGACCATTGACCTCGCATCCCTACAAAGCCGGGACGGAGCACACCGGGTCCTCACCGGACCAGGCTCTGACATCACCAAGCGCCAAGCACCGTGAGGTATTCGGCGAGTCGCATGAAGGATGCACTGCATCCTGCTGAGGTGTTCGGCATCTTGTGCTTACTTCCTTGCGTACGGATGACAGCTGCGTATGACTATTTTGTGGTGCTTTCACTCCCAGAAACAGCTACAAGCACTGTGTACAAGCCTCGGGGGTCGCTTGACCAACCTAATACAACGGGGTGCGACCACCCCTTCGCGCGGAGTGAGGGTTCTCGACCCCGCACAACATGATACACTCGACCACCATATGGTTACCGCAAATAAACAAACGGAATAAACCAGCGTAGCGCAACGGGTGGTTCAGGCGTCGGGGCACGAAATATCTTGATCTGGCGCAAGCATGTACAATGAATCCCATGCAGACCATGTCATAGCAAACGCATTTCTTCCGTAAGGAGCCTACAGGTTGGGGCCCACACAACAGCAGCGTTGGTTTTGCGCAGAAGAAAGTCTAAGCTCAGCTTCGCTAATCGTAGGCACCGTCGAGCACGATCATACAGATGCACGCTAGCTACCAAGCCTGGCTACAGAATGCACCCGCTAGGTAGGGTGTGAGCTTCATCGGACAATTTTTTCTCTTTCTCCGAGCAAATGGAAATCTGATGGAGTATGACGTACTTGAGGTATGATATGGCCAGATTGATTGCGGGATCACCGGTCTGTATTAGTTGATGATCCAAGTCTACCGCAGTTGTTCCGTGCTCAGCTGTCGGGCGAAAGGGCACACTACACGTTCACTCCATGTACATTCCGCGACGAGGACGTACAAATAGCATCGTGGGGGGAGCCATCACAGTCCCCCACCAATCAATAAATGTTCCGATCGGCATATTTTTAACGTGTACGCAGAGAGGCCTCGATTTCCGAGGACCGTCGGGAACACAACATACCACCCCCTGGACCATTTTCAAAGCTCGATTTCTCCACGACAAAGAGGATGAATAAATGAAACGATAAGTTTTTCGACAGCGCGCGACGAGACAGCTTCAGCACCCCCGTTGTCGGTGCTGCCACTCTTTATGCTGTGCAGAAATCGAGCGTCGACAATCGGGCTTGGGGTTGTCATGTCTCACGTGACCTGCGGCGATCTAGAGACTGACATAGGATACATGAGTTTCGTACACCACGAGGACAGAGACCGCAGCAGCCAGTGAATAGGACCAAAGGTCAATGCGCGGCGAACATGCACCCAGCATCCCTGAAATATGCCCCGGCTGTCGCCATAGGCGTGTGTGCTGATGAGAGAACCAATTATGTGTCCAGATGACACTGTGCACCCAGCATACCGCTGTACTTGCACCAGCATACACGACCTCGAAAATTTTCAGGGTATTTCATGGAGCGGTTTTACTCCACGGAGCTGAGCGGTTAAAAGCGCTCTGCTCCGCAATAATTTTGCCCTCGGATAAACCGCTCTGCTCCGTGGAGCTTCCCAAAAATCCGTCCAATCAGTTTTTCCACGGAGGAGCGGTTTGAGCTACTCCGTCACACGAGCACGGAAAAACCACAAAAAAGTCACGGTTTTCCCACGGAGTCACGCTTATTTTTTTCTTTTTTGTTTTATTCTATTATTCTGTTTCCACAGCAAGAGGTATAAGGTATTATGTATTAGTACTGACAACTTTCAACGAAAGGCGAGTGAGGAATCATCTGCTGTTGTAGGTGTTGCAGGAACGTGTGAGTCGAGGAGGTATTTAGGTATTAGTTAGTACTGACAAGTTTCAACGAGAAGCAAGTGAGGAATCATCTGCTGCTTTACGTGTTGCAGGAATATAGGAGTCGAGGAGGTATCGATGCAGGGAACAACCCCTTTCTGAACATTTTTTTTATTAATTTACAGCCTGTCTGTTTAGGCTGTCCTAGCGGCGAGGACGCTTACGGTGTCACCGGCGGCCTCCAACCACAGCACATTGTGCTGAAAGTCGCTTGCCGGTGTTGTACCAAACCCAACGTTTTTCACGATTTGCAGACATTCCTTCGATTTTGAACGGATGTCCGTGCGGTTTCGACGGGTATTTCTGGCGAAAAAAAACGCTCGGCTCCGTGGAACTTGAAGAAAGAAGAAAACCGCTCCGCGGAGCGGTTCTACTCGAAAAATTTGAAAGTTGCGATTTTGAAACCAAAAACACCAACTATCAACGTATCAGAATTGTGCTTGCACTGCTTCTGTGGATGAGCATCTGAAAACTCACGATGATATGGAACTCGTTGTCCTGCTTCTCGTCGAGCATCGTGGTGTCCTCTCTTCCCTCTCTGTCACGGTGCCTCTCTCCGGGTGTGTATGCCACAGATGGCTCGCTTGCTCTTTGCCTGTTGGCTCAGCATGTCACAGCTGTTCGTCGTCGTTGTATGTCCGGGGACCTCGCGGATTATTATGTACACCCCCTCGTAGCCGAGTGCTGAGTATCTGCGATGACTCCAAGTACTGCACTTGCTTTCTACGCTGTGCTGTCAGTGCTGTGGACTGTATGCGTCTCCCAACAACGCTGCTGGCTAAGGAAGGGACGATGCCGAACCTACGTGCTACGAAGCTGTACACGATGGATCAGATACGGAACTCTCCCTCCAGAAAAGACGGCGTCTCCGAGGCCTTGGAGAATGACTATCGGCGAACGACGGGGCTCTTTATCAAGGCGGCCGGGAAGGAGCTTGAGCTGTGAGGACAGACTACACATACTGTAGATACTGGTAGAGGCCTGTGCATTCTCCAGCGGGTGTTGATCAATGTGAATCGGCGGTTTTCCATCTATTGCAGCAAGGGCAGAGGCGGGGGGTGTACTTGCAAGCACAGCAGTTTACGTTTCGGTTTTGCGGAGAACCATGAGACAGCAGTTGGCGACGATCTACGAATTCGACCTCGGCAGCCGCACAGCTTTCATATTTCAAGTGATGCTCTGTATCTCTGCTTGTTACAGAGCTGGGGAGCGATGCGTGCATGTTTTGCGATAATCAGGTAGAAGCAAAGAATTCGATGTCAGCTTCTGTTGGACTTGCGTCCACACAGAAGACGAACTCGCTAACTAGGGTTTGTTTTGTTGTTTGTTTTTCTTCACATTAAACTCTTGTCAGTTGCTAATCCCAAAATCTAAAATCTAGCAAAGACTCGGTCCGTGGTTACAAAAATGCTAGAGCCAGCAGATCTAAAGAAAACACACATTAGCAAGAAAAGGGTACACAAGCCCGAGGAGGTACACCTACAATCCCTGCAGCACGTTCGCGTGCTCACAACTGAACTACACGCCCACACACTACAATTGGACTACAGCAGCAGCATCACCCCCCTTGTCCCGCATTTAACCAAAATGAATGTTTGTCGACTACAGCGTACTGCTGTCTGAAGTGCTGTCTGTACAAAAATTCAATTGTTGGTGGTGTCCCCTACTATTTTCTGCTGTATTATTGTAGTCAGTACCATGAAGCCTGCAAAATACCACAACTGAGGGGGGGCGGCAGATCTTAGGACGGAGGGGGGCAGAGAAAAAATGTCATAGCCTGGTTTGGTGTGTTGTTGTTTGTGTAATGGTTTCGGAGTAAGACAAAGTGGCATCGTAACTCGCTTCGCTCGCAGACACACTTCACGGGGTTCCGGACGCGGTGCAGTGTGCGTTTACAGTGCCGTGTGACTCGCTTCGCTCGAAGGCACTTGGCGAGGTTTCGGGCGCGGTGCAGTGTGCGGTCACAGTGTTGTGTGACTCGCTTCGCTCGAAGGCACTTAACGGGGTTCCGAGCGTCGTGCAGTGTGCGTCACAGGAGTGCCGTGTTGCTCGCATGTACTCAAAGGCAGTTTGTCCGCAGCAGCGTCATGTTCCCCCTTTCGAGGAGTTCCTTATTATGTGCTTCGTCACACACCGGTGTGCCTCTCCTCTCCTTCTATTGCACAAGGTGAATAATTGTTCGACCGTTCAGCAAGTGCATACTCCCCCTCGACACGTGTTGCCCCACCTAAACCGTTGTACAGAACTCCAGGCCACACACCCGCCCACCCGTCTGGGGCGTAGTATGACCGTCTTTCGTCCCACAGCGTAACGTACGCAACTCCCCTACCCCTCACGTTAACCGTAACAGTGGCCGGTGCCTTTTGTCGCATGTCGGCTAGAGCGTTGATGGCATCGATGGGCGGTTGGAACGCCTCCTTGAGGAACTCTCTTGCTAACTCTCTGTCCTGCAAGACATCGTCTGGTAACACGAGGAACAGGCCGTCTAGAGTTTTCCCCCTGGACACGGCGGTATACCCCTGACCCTGGGCGAAGAACCCTCTAGAGGGAATCCACACGGCCACCCTTTCGAACCCTACCCCTTGCACTCTGTGTACGGTCATGCAAGCAGCGACCATGAAAGGCCACTGCTTAACGATGTACGTGCCGCTGACCGCTACCCCTCTGCAGTAGGGCACCCATACCATTTTGTCCTCGAAGGGCTGTATTTTGACAGTGCTCTCCCTCCCCTTGCCGGTCGTAAGCTCAACCTCGACCCACGCTGGGCGCTTATGGTAGTATGCAGTTGTCCCGTGCCCCAGCAGCAGTTTGTGGAGAGTCAGCGTGGTGAATTCGAGCACAAGACAGAGAGACAGAGAAGGAGTACGAGCGAAGAGAGACGTACAGCAACTGCTGTGATGACGATTCAGTATGTGATGCGTGCGCGCATGATGTGTGGTTGTACCTGTTGATGCACACGGTTGCTCCTCCATGGAGGAGGCGGTTGTACATCGACGCTGCTCTGCGGTTCGTAACCGAGAAGGAGCACAGCAGTTGAGAGCTGCTACGAACGCAATAGAGTGGTTGCTACGCGGGCAACCACGTGGTACTGCTGTATAGCTCATGGCATAGCAATCGTCTGCGCTAGTTACAGTAGC